ATATATATATATATATATATACAATATATTTAGATAATGATGGGTGGAACACAGTGAACTATGAATAATTGAGGTCACAGAAGAGGTCAAAATACTTACAGGATCACACCATTGAAGCAGTCACTGTAGTGTTTGAGTATACAATCCTTATAGTCCTTATTGCCTTCTCTCCTATACTGATCATGGCTTTATCTCAGGGACCACTGCTACCATTGGAAAGAGCTGAGAAAATACTAAAAGCCACACCTGTACTACAGAAAAGCAAGTGTATAGCAGCTATTGACTTTGGAACCTCATCACTATCAGTAGCATACACTGCTCCAATAACAGGAGGATATGTTAGAGTCATACCACTTCACAAAACTTATGAAAGGGTCCCTAATGCTATACTGATCAAGAAGGAACAAGAAGGACAGCAATACAAAGTCATTGGGATTGGACATGAAGCACAGAGTACATACAGTGATAACGAAGAAGATGGTCAGAAATTTATTTATTTTGAAAGAATAAAGAAATTACTGACAAGAGATGAGGTAAATCAATAATAACTCAAACCAACAATGTTTATTACAAATTATTTCAGTCATTAGATCGTACTACTGAAGTCTCTTCATTCACTGGTGGATCTTATTATCTCATTGAAGTTATAGCTTTTATACTAACACACCTCAAGGAGAAGCTACTGACTGATGAGCTTAAAGGAAACTACAAGTCAAGTGATTTTGATTGGGTCATTACTGTTCCTGCTATATGGAAAGCAAGAGCAAGGAGAATGATGAGAGAAGCTGCTTATATGGTAACCTAATACATGCTTTGTATTTCATTATGTTAATATGATAGGCTGGTCTCACTTCTGATGCTCCTGGTATAACTAAGTTCACTCCAGTTGGTTCTCCTTTACTACGTCCAGAGGAGGTTAATCCTGAGAAGCTATCATTAGCTCTAGAACCAGAAGTAGCTGCTATAGCTGCACATAAGAATTCGGAAGTTGTTGGTGCTCCTCCAGAGAGTTATATGGTAGTTGATATAGGAGGAGGTACAGTTGATATTACTGTACATGATAAGAGTAATGGGAGAATTAGGGAAATATTACCACCAATGGGGAACACCTGGGGAGGTACTACTGTCAATGAAGCATTTTCAGAATTACTACAACAGGTAGTAGATGATAAAGGTTTTGAATCTTTCATAAAATCAGATGCTAGTGCTCAAGCTATTGCTACACTAAATAAACTTTTCTATGAAGAATTTGAAGAACGAAAAAAAAGATTCGGAAATGCAGTTGAAGAAAGTATTGATAAAATTGTACTAACACTGCCTCACACTATGCTGCAGTTCTACTGCAATGATAAGCTACAAAAAGCAGATAATTTCGATATGAATTACAGTCCCAAAAAATGCTCTATATCTATTAATTTTAAAATTTTAGAAGAAAAGGTATTCAAATCTACAGTTGATAAGATCATAGAGTGTGTGAAAGAGGCATTTGATGAGCTAACCGATGAAATCGATACAGTTTATCTAGTAGGAGGGTTTGGAGGGTGTAGGTTTGTTAGCCGAAAGATAGAGGAAGGTATCATTCAGCATTGTGGTATTCTTTATGGTAATATAGTGTGTCCTGTACAACCGGATCTTGCTGTTGTAGTAGGAGCAGTAATGTGGAGGAAAGATCCTAACATAATCCAATCACGTGTTGCTGATGCTACCTATGGGGTAGGATGTGCTCCTGAATTTGACCCATCAATACATGATGAACACTACAAGTATGTAGATGAAGATGGTGTACAACGTTGTAACAATGTCTTTAATGTATTTGTACTCAAAGGAGAAGTAATAAAGGATGACGTTTATAAAACCACATTTATACCTGCTTCTCAAAGCAGCACACAAACTTCTACCTCTATATACTGTACAGGAGATGATGGAGTTCAGTATGTCAGAGATAAAGAAGGTAAACGTACAGTACGTGAGATTGGCCAGCTAATACTTGATATTCCTAATCCTGATAATCTACCAAGAAAAGAGAGAGAATATGACGTATTTATGGATTTCAGTGGTACAGAGATACAAGCAAGAGCTCAGTATAGTATCACTGGAGAAGAAGTGAAAACAGTTTGTGACTTTCTATCAAAACAAGACGAATTAAAATTCTAGCAAGAGAATAATAATACATGTAATGTAGTATAGAATAGCATTAGTAATAGATACATGTAACATTATTGAACAGAGTGACTTTTGTGTGTATTTAATTTGAACCTACATGTAACATTAATATAATGGATTTTGTTTGCATTCCTCAAATGGTTTTAATTAATTTTTTATTTTTGATTAAGTAACAAAATTCATTTTTCAATTTTGTGTGAATAAAATAAAATAATAAAATAAGCAAAAAACAATAACAATTATATTTCGTATTTTACAATAATTACCATTACAACTAATAATTACATGTACTAATAACTACAAATAACTATTAATAACCACTAACCAATATTAATAACCACTAATAACTATTAATAACTCACAAGTTAAGGAACATGAGGTAATCATAATTAGATATTTCTCCAGTTTGCCACTTCTGAGTAGCATCAGTCAGATCAGGAACCTGTAGGGACACACCCCTCACCCCTACCAACTTATCATAGAGACTGTTCCTCTTTGACGTGGAGGAGAGGACCAGAAATATACTCTGACCCCCTCGGGAGAATAATTCCAGACCCTATGGAACAATATAAACTAACTGGTGAATGGAGAATGTTCATAAAATGTCATTAATAATAATTTATTAAATTAAAAGGAGGAGTGACGTACATGTACATGTACAAATTGACATGTGTAATTTCATTACATATACCGGTTTATTTTTACGGTAAAATTTTTTTGCGAATCTTGCATTTCTAAGATTTTGTGGAATTAATTTTTGCAAATACACATGTAGCTTGCAGGCTTCACCACATAGCAATGAAAATGCAGAATTTCGTGGTGGAAAAATTTTGCAATGAAGCAGAAAAACATGAAATCTACAAAAATATTTCACCACAAAAATAAACCAGTATACGGTATTTATATTAATATTTTATACAGTGTAGCCTCTTAAAATACCCTATAAAACTATCACACACAACTAAAAGTGGATTTGACGTTGGTACAACCATTTAATACAAGTATACAGTGTAATCATCAAATTTGTGATCTACATGTACATGTACATGTGTAAATTGTGAGAGATGGTATTTTGTTATTGGGTGTGGTCTCGTCCTGGTAGGTGTGGCTTACCACATGTCGTAACATGTATCGTCTCTTCACGGCATGAGTGAGGGAGGAGAGCTCCATCTTAACCACCGGGTCCTGTAATATTAACAATAGTGATAGGAACCATAACCAACCAAAATTAACATTAATTACACACAGAATAAAATTACACTACAAACTACATG